TTCAGCCCTCTCTGATTTCTAAACAGCCACTTTTTACCACTCATATGATCTAAGTTACTATTTCTTATTCGTTTGTAATGATTATTTTAGCTCTATGATTTGTTAACAAATTTCTATACTGTCAGTTTTTACCTAATTTTTATTGGGTTGAGTTTTTGTTTAGTCCCTTTCCGCCCCCCCCCCCTTCATAACTTTATAACCCAATAACCAGATAATCCAGTACAATTTTAAAAAACTCCCTCCAGTCACCCTTCAGTCACATCTCTAAATAAGGTAAAATTATTTCGGTTTTTATGTCATTCCTAGTTACATGAATATTTGCACCTTTTACCTCAGCTCTCCTTACAGTCTTAAGAGAGCTCCTAATTTCTAGCACATTAGCACATCTCCACACCACCTGTGAGGTAGTAATATGGCGCACTGGTTTTTTTTCTTAAATTTTCTAAACGCTTATTAATTGCATTACTTAATATGTATGTCAATAACGAATAAACTAATACAATATTTAAACCATGGGAAAAGCTTGTAGCCCTATTTACCACAAAAAGATAGAAATCATATTTGTTAAAATATGTCAAATAAGGCGCATCGTCATGAAACAATATTTAAATTATAATTTCATTGATTTAGTATATGTATTTCTTATTTAAATGAACTGTGCAAGAATATTTTGGACAATTTCATACTTTTGCTAATGTGAATTAATTACATTTTTTGTATCCTTTTAGTTAACGTCAAAAACTTTTTTCGAGACAATATTTTCTATTTCTACGTTATCATGACGTTTTATTAGATTATAAATTCCATTCTCGTTTTTGGATCTTGATAACGCGACGTATGATCGACCGTGCAAAAACTGGTTTTTTTTCAAATATAATCCAATATTATTAAAACTTTGACCTTGAAATTTATTATTAGTTATTGAAAACGCTAAGACTAAAAAAAATTGTTTTATGTATAAAATAAAAGGTAATGATAATGAATTTTCTGTATTAAAAGTTATTTTTGGTCTAATTGGTCTTTTTTTGGTAATAAATGGTCTTTATTCAATTTTTTTTCTAGTTACAATTTTTATTCCACTATTGTTTTGAAGAAATTTTGTAATTTGTAATATTGTGCCGTTACATAAGCCATCAACTATACTTAAATTTCGTATCAACATAACAATTACTTCAATTTTCAAAATAAGCTCTTGCAGTGGTTATCCTTCATGAATGTTGTTCAGAAATTCAATTGAAAAATTTGTATAAATATGATTACTAAATTTATCAACACCTTTGTAAGTAGCATGATTTATGCTGTAGTATGTTTTTATTTTTCTTTTTACATAATTTAAAATTTTATTATTCAAAAAGTAAGTATATTCGATATGAGAAGTATAACGCTATTTATTGAAAAGTTAATATCTTTACCAAAAATATCGGAACAAACATCGGTTGTTTTC